AGGCTTTGCCATGTTGATAATGATACGTGAACAGTATTAATCTTGGTTAAAATCATTTTTTCATTGCATTTTCGATGTTAAGGGACTGAAGTTTAGTGACCAGTCAAGTATTTTATTTACCTGGCTAATGTGTTTAGGGTAATGTCTAAAAATTGCAATGGGACTTAATTTGAAATTTTACACTAGAAGGCTTTACCACGTTGATAATAATATACGAAAAGTATTGAACTTTAGTAAAACTTTTATTTTCTTGCATTAACTTGAACTTCCATAATCTAGTGATGCGTAAGAGAAAGCCTGCTACATTTTATTTATTTATTTATTGATATACGAGTATATAACCCTTTAGTAGTAGTACACGAGCTTGACTAATCTCTCAGGTCCCAATTCAATTGTCCAACCAGTACTATATCACACTTGTCTAATTAGCTCTAGAGTCTATTACAAGTGGCTGGCCAGTGCTAGAGTTAACTGCCTGTTTCTGACCAGTACTAGAGTCAACTACCCGTGTCTGGCCAGTGTTAGAGTCATCTACACGTGTCTGACTAGTACTAGAATCTGTTCCATCTGTACGAGCAGTACTTCCATGAGACTAGTCTAATTAGCATCAAATTCTATTATACTGATCTAATCAGTACAAGATATTATTTTTCCATTTTTCTGACGACTACCAGATCGAATTACTCTTGTTTGGCCATAACTAAACTCACCACTCTTATCTTATTAAAAGAAGATCGCGTTACTCCCGTCTGACTATAGACACACCTCATACCACTTACTCGAAATGATCAGCCCATTGCCCTTGTCTGGCCATATAAAGTTTATTTTACTCGTCTGCTCATCGCTAACTTGTTTCACTTTCCTGATCAATTCACCAGAAGTAAAAGACATACTCTATTTCCGTCTACCTGTATATGCGCCCCAAGTGTTAAATATTGACAACAATAAAACACAGTTTCTTTTACGCTCGAACAGAAATTAATAACACTAATGTTCCTGAAATTCAATTCAACGTACTCATGAAAACCGAGTCCATATAATAATATATATTACCTATATATTACCTATATATTACCTATATATTACCAACAATAAGAAATCTTGTAAAATTAATTGAAAACTCAACGAATGCCTCTTTCTAACGTTTCGAGAGGGATCCTCGAAATTTATCAAAGGAACATTTGCGTGTGTCGCAAAACACGACCGGTAGCGTCGCGGCACTGCTCGTCAGTTTCCTTCGGAGACACTAAGGGCACCCACTAAATCATTACGACGGGTTTAGCGGTTGGATTTGCATAGACGACATATGTACGCACACATGGACATGTATGTGCAACGGAGTGGAGCGTGCGGCGAATCGACTGATTCGGTAGGGGCGCGCGTATATGTCCTTCGATCTTCCAACCCCCTCATTCCCTTGTGAGCAGACTTCGCGGTCGGAATTTCGAGCGAATGATTTGTTTTTTCGACGGATGAGCGGATTTTGGGGTCGCGAGTATCCTGGACAACGACGATCTCTCTCGTCCACTCTGTGAACAGGACCAGTTTTGTTGGGTAATCGGCGCGGGGGGGGGGGGGGGGGGGGGGGGGAGGACGGAGTTCGCTGGTAATTGTTTCGGGAAGACGACCGATCGGCCAGTTTCCGGGGTAAATGATAAATTTCATTCGACGAGTTGCCGATGCCACCACGGGAGTTCGAAAGTTGCACCGTCTACTTGGAAGTTTATTAAAGTGTATCGACGTTCGGTGGATCGACTGATGGAAGGGGTTCGTTAAGATACCATGTCGTTGCTGAACGTGTCAACGGATATGCGTTGCATCAAGATGGTGTCGGTGCAATGATATTGCATATTACAGTTGGTGTCAAAAGTATTTGTGCACCCTTTAAAACGGAACAACTTTTTTAAAATTGGTCCAAATGACGAGTTCTTTTGTGAATTTAGACACTAGTTTACTAAATGATGTGTCAAAAAAAATTGAAAAAGTTGCAATTAGTTGGAATCGAGAAGAAAACAGTAAAGGTCGTTTTTTACAAGTTTTTTATCTGAGGGTATAATGAAAATTTAATAAATACGTATCGAAGATTTATGTTAGTTATATATATTTTTTTTCACATCAGTTAGTAAACTAATGTCTCTAACTTCATAAAATAACTCAAGTCATGTCGATCAATTCTAAAAAAGTTGTTCCGTTTTAAAGAGTGTAAGAGTCTTCTCGAGTGGAGATGTTAGTTTCCAAATAGTCGAGTTCTGTTATGCAAGTTACTTAAATGATTTTGTAATACCTAAAATTATTAAAATTTTAACTATATTATTTTCTACAAAATACAATCTTATAAACCGATTGTTAAACCAAAAAATTTAATATTTACTGTTTCTTACTGCTAACCTTCAAAATATATCTAGTATCGACAAACACTATATTTTACGAGTAAGACATCGAGAGAATAGTAAAAAAAAACGATTAAATAAAAATTAAAAAAAAATGACTAATTCCACCGATTTCTTGAAACCCCTTTGCCGACGCCATATCCATTTAAAATGCCCAAGATATCCCGTACACAACAAGTTAATAAATATCCGAAACCATGTCAAAATAATCGTTAAACGCAATGAAAAATGTCGAAATCACAGAATCCCACGATTTCATTCGGTCCATAAGTGGAACTGCCCAACATACCAAGGACCAAAATACCCGAAATTGGTCCCGTGCCCATCAGTCCATCGTCTTCACGCGAATCCTCCGCGTCCCAGATGGTCCTCGTGGCGCACGCGTACAATTCCACGCGATCCGGCTGCGTTCCCATCCGTGCGATCCCGCCACGGCTCGAATCTCATCAAACACCGCGGAGCAGTTGCCTTTAACCACCACGAACGGCTATTTAACCCGACAAACATGGCCATTCCCCGGATACACGGTACGGGCCAGTGCCTGCAGGCACTGAATTCCAGCATGTGTCAGACGGATCCATCCCATTCTCCTCCCGCCCCTGTTCCTCCGTGTCGATGTTCGCCAGTCGCGGCGTGTGTACGGTCGCGTCGCGCGCGGTCCAGCGGATTAGCCGGGGACAGTTTACGGGCGTTAAGGTCATTACACGCCGATTTGCCGTGGCCTGGGCCATATGGAGGCGCGAGGTGAGACCGGCCGTCAGGCCGATCGTAAGTTACAACGGGACTTGAGACGCCGGATTACGCCTGTAACTCCTACGGACCGGCTGGACCCGGGCGCCACGGTCTGCTCGATGGAAGATCGATCATCGGGGTTGACGGTGGAGATTATGGTACTTGGTGTGGCCGATTGATACCGGAACAGTGGGCCCGTGATAATCGTTTAACCCTTTGACTAACAAGGGAAGGCACGGAAGTGTCCCCCTACGGTTTTTATGAAACTTCGTATGTCTGTTAAGCAGTCGAAAACAGAGTTCGGCAGAATTTTACTGGAATAATATACAGTGAAAAGCAGCAGTATCTAAGGGCGTCGTTCTGAGATTTAAACAGTCAATGAGATGAAATAATTGTTCGAGAAATGTCGATTCATTCATAAAGAAGTATTATTGTATTATAAAAATTGAAATTTTCATGTTTATAGAATTAAAAATGACGATATACTTTCTTTTATCTTTTATTCGTTATTCGAAACTTTTTATCTAGATAATGAGTTTGCCCTTCTCTGGTCAAAAATAAGGGATACGTATTTTTTTTAACGGCTGAGACGCGACTTTATGGGGTGAAACCATCCGTCAGAGTTTCTATTCGAAATTCTTTTGTTATAAACAAATTATGTTTTGGACAATTTGTTAGCAGCATATTATTCTATATAAAAACCGCAAACCTCGTCCATTAGAAGTTTTCATGTATCTTCTCTGGTTTTCGAGATAGCCCTATTGAACCATTCAACTTTCTTGTGAATCACCCGGTATACGATATACAGGATGTTAATAAAACTGTGGGACATTTTCACAGAGAGGATTTTATATGCAAAACTAGGATGAAAATAAAGAATGACGAAATTACGTTTCAGGTATTGTTTTCGAGTTACTAACCCCTTGCCTTATAACATTGAGTCACACACGTCATCACGTTTTCAATCTGTATTTAATAAATATTCATATAATTCGTTTTCTTTAAGTCAAAGTGAAATACTGTTTCGCTGGTATTAACAGTTAAGATTTAAAGTAAATGTTACACTTGCCATAAGAACCAAATTCTTTTGGTATCTGGGTAATTATTAACGATAAAGTAATTCTTGAGGGTGAAGTCGTCAAACAAATGGTAGGGCAAGGCACGTCTTTGCATTCCGAAACAATTGTAATCGGGTAACACGGTGTTCCTCGCGTCTCACGGCAGGGCTCGATAAAATCTCGGTGAACGTGAGCAAAATTAGGGGAGTGAACGTTTCTTGACTTCCTTCGTGGAATTCGTTCTTGAACAGACCGCCGCCCCGGAATTTAGCGGCGACCCCGGGGGCTCTCGCGGGTCGGAGAATTTCGAATTGGAGTGCTGTAAATTGAAAGCGAAATCGACGTTCAACGAGATTTCGACTTCGAGTGGATTTGATAAAATCGGACTCCGTTGCGGATGAAGACGGCGAAAATTTCACGTAATACCGTTCGGGAAGTTTGTTCTGGGGTAAACCTTGGTAAACCTGATCGTGCGGACTTACTTCAAATAATTCAATACTACGTTATCATTCACTAACAATGTTCTTGACATCTCTATGAAAGTTTAAATTTTCTTTCTATTCTCGACTGAGATCGATGATACGACAGGGTCCGAGGAGAACAACAACACATGGGACAAATCTTTCACAGTAAATAATAAGTTGACGTGAGTGTTTTGAAAAATATAAGAAATTTGTTTCTGACCATTTGAGCTGTTAAATTTTGTTTCTAGACCACTGGTGCGCACGGTAGATACGAGCCGAGTACATAAATATAATCCTCCCGTACATATTTCGCGCCAGTGGCCACGAATCTAGAAGCAAACAACCAATGTACTCACATTTGATGTCGAGGTTCAAGGGGTTGCTCTCTCCGTCGCCTTCCTGATTGCTACCGATGCAGGTGTAGATCCCAGCTCTGCTTCGGGTCACGCTTTGCAACACCAGGCTTTGGTTGCTGATTATCGTCCCGGTCGCTGGATTATGATACAAGGGATGTCCCTGCGAACGCAAAACACCGTCCTCGATAAAAAACAAAGATCATAGTTTTTGTTTTTTTCAGTAAATATTGGGTGCACTTTGTGAAATTTCTTCGTTTGTAAATTCAGTATTTTTTATCTAGGTAATTAACACTGGAACTACCAAACCCGTCAGAATAACGGACTGCAGATTTTTTGTTTTATCATTACTGATTAATTATATTGGTGTTTTTAGTGGGCTTTGTGGTGATTTTTAATTTCCTGTAGATTTTATGTTATTCAATATTGTGCTAAATTTTACTATAATTATGTATACTACTATATTATACAATTTAAGTAAACATTCAATGCTGGTAATTCTATTGTTAAAACGCTATACCTTTTTTTACTAATATTTGGCCTGGTTCTTCAATAGTCGTCGCTGTTTTTAAAGGAAAGATGAACAGGAACATATTCTGAACTTGAACTATTTTATTAATTTTTTTCAAATGAAATAGTGAAATATGATATTGGTAGATCTAATATATATTATTGATAAATTATAGGTCAAAGAACGAAGCATTCACCATTTTATTAACACATAGCACACCGGTTTGTTTAATGCTAGAGGGGCCAGTTATACTTTTCAGCTTCGTATATTCAAGACATAAGAAAACACGAAAATGCTCGTGAGTTTGCCTCGGGCGTTGTAATAAGAAACACGGGAATTCCCGCGATCCCTCCAAAATGTTAATAAAGCTAATAAAATGGAAATGTGTATTTAGATTCCATATACATATATTGCCGCAGTCTCATGGTCAACATAAATTATTATTACAGGGTTTTTATAACTGCTTCGAGATAAAGGTCAAAGTAAATAACTCTCTTTGTGGAATTTCTTCAAATTTGAATACCAAAGCATTTGATTGGTACTTAACGTTTTATATGTAAAATGAATTTCAAATATAAATTTCGTGTAGTTAATGATTTTGACGCACGAACGGCTCCTATAATTGAAGAGATCCTGTAGAAAACACTATAAGTACTAAAAATTCAATTTTTCAGGAGAAGAAAATTAATCCGACTTTAAATAATTTACAAAAAAAACTTGATTTCTTCTTGTTGTTAAATGTAATTAAGAATATAATAACCTAATGCATCACAAAATTTTCCATTTTTTGCACTAATGTAGTTTAAATTCATGGAGAAGAAAATTGTATTTGTAGAAAATCCTGTATGTGCCATCTGTTAGTTGCAAAGAAAACTCAATATGCAATTTATTTGCAGTTTGTTCCCAGATTACTTGCGTAGAAACTCAAAAATATAACGTTTGAATCGACACTTACAGTGTTCTCTACAAAAGTCACGTGTGGACATACCAATGATTCCATTTTCGAGCAATATTGGTGACTATTTACAAATAGAAATTGCATTTACATTATATACTACAGTATTCTCATTGTCACACAGAACATTTCTCGATAAATAACAAAATTTTTCACTTTCAGCACGTACACTGTTTTATACAAGATCTCTTCAATTATGTCGTAATAAAACCCAACCGGAAATAATACGTTAACACTGGGAGATTTAACGCGACATCGGCGAAGACGCCTGCTTGTACATTTTTCTTGAAAGAAGAAGGGAAGACGGAAAGTAAAAAAAAGGGTGGGGGGAAGGGGATGGAAGGTTGCCGACAGTTTTTCAATTTTTCAGCGCTGCTACGGCGCGACAATGCCCCTTCCTTTCTCCCCAGTTTTCATCCCTTTTCCAGCGTCGTGGAAGCTCCTTTGAATTTCCGGGGAAACACACGAAATTCCGTCGTCCCGAATCAAACGAAGAATCGACAAAGGCGCCAGGCGCGTTCAGGACGTTTCCACGACTACAATGACATTATGATCCGAGGCGCGAGGAGAAATATTTATGAAACTCGCGCAATATATACCGGCACAAAGGGACGAGACGTCTGCATTCGTTTAAAATAAATCCTTTACTCTTTTTCTCGGAGAAGGATCGTTCTACGGGAAATTATATTCCCCTTGATACCCAGCGCCCTTGCGATAGTAGATATTGTAATCCTCGGTGTTCTCTTCGGGGGACGAAAATGTTGTATGCAAATAATAGACGCGAAAGAAATATGATATACGTAGTTATCTTTCTGGATGATTTAACTGTTCTTTTGTATTGATTTACCGACATTGTCAAGAGGGATTACAATTGACCAGTCACATTAAACGAATCAGATAACACCGGCTATAAATCTATGCCAGCGTTCGATACATCGAGAAAATAATCGATTCCCCTATTATACACCCTGTTAGTATAGATATAGACAGGGTGAAGTCACTTAACACTAAATCTACCGACGATAAATGCATATTTGAAAATTTAGAAATTTAGAAATTGACTAATTTCTTTACTTTCATATCGTGATAAAAGGTGCAAAGATCTGAGAAAAGGTAGTTCTAATGTTTTAAATGTATTCGTTAATTGTTCAATGAAAAAATTCCGCAGGATAACGTTACATTATTTGAATGGGAATATGTAACAGTAGAGAATTAATTTTTATATCATCATTCTTTAAGAGACTTCTTAAGGTCTTTTGTTGTCCACTCTGTATAAGTATGAAGCACGGGAGGGTGCTGTAACTGTGTTAATTAAGGCACGACTTAGCTAATTTGATTTGATTTAATTTTCGACTTTAATTTTTCCATATACTGGGGAGAGGTTTTTTATGTTTAAAACTTATGACGCGTTCGCTAGTGGGCCCCGATTTTTGAAGTTTATGAATTTTTTAGAAAATGTTATCTTTTAAGATTCTAAAAAGACAATCATCACGGCCGTCGCGTCGGTTGTTAACTGCAATATGTATGATACTTCGACATAAATTATACGATATGCGTTATGATAGATTACATGGAAATCACAGAGGAAAACATGGTAAGTCCATTTTTCTTCATTTTCTGACTTTGTATATTATTCAGCAGCTAAAAAGGAGGACTTTAATACGACATAGTTGAAACGGAGAACCATCTGTTAGTTTCAAAGATACAAAGCTATTAAAAGTAAGTTACAGGACTTGATAAGTCCACGAAATACAATATTGAAAACTCAATTCAAGAATTTAACTGACAATTCAAGGATAACCCCAGAAGTGACTGTTTGAAAAAATAATTATTACTAAGAAAAGGTAGTTGATAAATTCACCAAGCATTGTAAAAAAACCAAGGGCATAACTAATGTTATGGCAATCAATATTTTGAAAATGTTCACAAGAGAGATAATTATCACTGAAATAGTACCTGCAGATACTTAATAGTTTTGAAGATATAATTAATTAAAGTTCCATACTTAGTTGCATGTACTATGAATATAAGTGTCCGTTTGTGAAATCCACGATGGCGAAATGGCAAATGGAAACATTAATTAACTTTTCACAAGAATATCACAAACACCTATATTCATAGTACATACATCCATAACTAGGTATGCACCATTAACTAATTATACCTTCAAAACTATGAAGTATCCACTGCTAATATTTCACACATATCATTAAAAATATGTATTCTATCATCCTACAAAAGATCGATAAAATCGATGTGGTACAGTCAGGATCCTTCCCTTGTAAGTAGAAACAGCCTGCCATGAACAGACGCGCTCTGCAAATCCTACTCTACTGCCCGTGTATCCAGCAAATTTTCAAACTCGATTATCTCGAAAATGAAGCATCACCCGTAAAAATTTTTATTCTTTTTCATCGACTTATTATTTCTTTAATATAATCACCTCCTGTTCGATTGTACTACCTGACCCAAAACACCCTGTATACACAACCCACGCGACGGCGAACGCATTCCATCCCCACATCGATTCCTGGGCCACACGCAACGGAAGTTGAAGCGTTCGCCGGCGGTACACATCCGTTTAGGGTTACGTCAACAGTTTCGAAATTCACCGATAAATTTCTTATCGACGGTAACCGGGGCAGCTATTAGTCCAAAGAACGCTTACGCGCCTGTTCTCAGTCGGCTGGTATCAGCATGTAAATTTTAAACGGAAAGTTTCGCGTCACAGGTGCTCCGCCCGTCTCCCCCTTATCTCGTCTCCCGATTAAGCTCGCAGCCGGGCCGGACTCTAAATTATTGATTTCGAGACCACGTCGCAGATTCGTTAACCCCTTCGACCCGGGGACGACCCGTTTCCCTATCCCCGTCGTCCCTGTTTGCTACAGTACCGTTTGTTGGAGTCAACCGGTAATTGGATTATTCGGTGCTTACTTTTCTGATTAATTATCAGAATTAATGTATATATGTACTGTAATAATCATGTAATTCATTAACAAACGTAATCATGACGATAATAATCGTCGGTTAAGTAATCATCAACGAGAATCGGTAATCATGGGGAGTATTTGTAGCTTGTAATAATATCTCGGTAATATTTAATCAATCGACAACATTGTGTGTACCTTGCTTTTACTAGAATCAGTAATGCACATGCAGAATGTAAACGAATTTTATTTAGTTCATAGTTTTTTTTTTTAGTGAAACTAGGTAATACACCCGATTTACAAGTTACCGCCTACCAGTCGCAGCGCTAGCGCGGGAACTCGGCTGGCAAACTCGCGCTCTGATTGGTCGGAGTTTTTCGTTAATATCTCGTTAACGAAGCCTCGGATAACATTGTTGCTAAGGAAAAACTTGTTCCAATTCACCCCCCGAGTGCCCCATTTCCGGGTCGGACAACATGTTTGATACAAAATACGATTAAGTGTGCCGGCCACACAACTTAGCACGTAGCTTAGCAGCAGTTACGGGTTAAGAATAAGCAGCAACTATGAATACCGGCCTATGAATAGACATTGCGTGAAACTCACGTTGTGCTGCCAGGAGACCTTGTACACCCAAGGGTTCGACTTGATGTTGCACTCGAAGTAGACGTCGATGCCCTCGCGGATCGCGCTCAGATTCAGGTTGCTGCCCAGCTCCAACGTGACCACCGGCTCGTCTGAAAGTTCGAAACGGTTAACTGTGTGTTGGAGAAACAGGTCGCCGATGTTTTGCCGCCGTCCCCTCGACAATGTCCCGCACGATTTTCGACGGGTCGCAAGAAAAGTTGAGAGTTGGCGGGCGTCGGTGGATGTCGGTCGGCGGTTATGCGGAAATGATTTGTGCTGTTGGTGGTATGTTTTGGTGGGCGTTGTGGGATGCATATTGCAGGGTTGAATATTCCACCAATGAAGAGAAAGAGAAGGAAAGGATAGTTTGGTATATTTTGGCTTCGGGGATGCTTCGCCCATAGTGGCCAAGAATCACAATTTAGCAGCTCGTATGCTTGTTCTAGCTCGAATAATAGAAAATTTAGAAACTTGTAACTTTATTTAAGTAGAGCTAGGTAAGTAAACAAATTTTTATCTATTTTAGCGATCCTTTCGAGGATGTTATTATGAGAGTATGAATTTTCAGAGTATGTTTTTTCTATTTCCCACTGAACGCTTCCAATACGAATTATTCTTAGTAGAAAAAGATTGCTTCTAAAGTTCGTATACGAACACCTGCGACACGGGTTAAAAGTGACCCAGCAATGTCATATCGCGTGGCTGTTTACGGTCGGATGTTCGAGGATAAACAGAGCATTTAACAGAGATGAAGTGGATTTTTTTGTGGCAATTTCTGTTAATTGTAAAAAGGGACAATTTAAGTGAGGAATTAGGTTGTCGCATAATAAGTGCTGCTTTTGAATAGGCTCAATATCAGCCACCTTGAAATCGTTAAACGTGGGATTAAGAACCTCGACGAACTGTCAATATTTCTTTCAAACCTTGAATGATCTTTATTTTTATCTTCTGTCACCATTTTATGATTAAATTTATTGAACCTAATTTAGAACTCGTACTTTCAATTATTAACTTCTGACAGATAGTGACCCCCTTAATGAACATTATGTAACATGCTTGTTAGTAGGAACAATTCTTTTATGTATAGCACTTTAATTTTACGTAACCCATTCGTATGTTAAAATATGAAAATCGTACCTTTTAAATATAACAATTTCGAACCCTCAGATTTCGTTCATACATAAGCCCAACATGCAACTATTCATCGGTTAGCAAAACAACCGTCTCATTACACAACTATCAACAAGTAAATCCAATTGTACGATAGTTAACACAATTTTCTTTTAACATAGTACATAAAGAAGTCAGATGATTGTAAAAAAGAGGCAACATAAATTCTTATCTGAAATAAATATTCCCCGGCGGTCGCCTATCCAGCGTTCGTTTCACGAACGTAGCAATAAGGGGCTCGATGCTGCGTTTACAAGATGAATCCGTGCGATTATATGTTTATACAATAAACATGGTTCCTCCAGCAAACAACCGTTCCCTGTCTGGCGTGCTCAGCACAAACAAATTAAATTCCTACTTCTGGACCCGATACAATATTGCCGGTGTTGGCAACAACAAAATCAATTTTCCCGGTTAATCCTTCCCTCCTTGGGCCCGGTCAGCCCTCCGGCAATCTGCCGGGGATCAGAAAGCTAAACCAAACTGGACCAACATTTCCCAGTTAATCAACGTATAACCGGACGCATCTCGTCCGAGGATGAATGCCTCCGATACTACGGAAACCGGTGGAATATCAATAATTTCGTTACGAACTTCGTGTACCTGGCGAACTTGGACCAACTCTACTTCCGCAAAACACCTACACAGTTTGTCCAAAGAGTTTCTGGAATTGAAGTTAAAATATCAATTTTTTGTATTAATATAAAGTAACCGAGAAAGTTTTTACTGTGTCTAGGTTTTATCATTGTCAAACTGTAGGTACAAGCGTCCACTCAATCAATTAAAATTGCAGTTATGTCTGCTTAAACAAGAACTTATTTAAGAGGGTATTTACCGGTGTACAACGCTTATGGGAGTTAATTATTTAAAAATTTGAAAAAGTGATCTCAGCATGATTGTGTCAGAATCAATTATTCAGGCTTGTTTATTTTGTGAATGGGGCACCAGGGACCAATTGATCTTCGATTGCAATTCGACAACTTTTATTGCAATACGCAAGTCGAGAAATTAGTTATATTATAAATTTCTATACTTTCAAAAGATTGTCATGTTTATCGATCCAATACAAATAGATGTACGTTTACCATCGCTAATTCTTGCATTAACCTTTTCATCCCCAGTGTGGCACCATGTTTTCCGTTCAGAAATCAAAGTGTTCCCTCCAGGAATAAATAAGAAACAAAAACTAAAAAAAAATAGGTCGTTTTAATTTCAACACTTTCGACATCAAAATTTTGACAACTGTTAACACAAAACAAGTCAAAATGACTTGTCAGTACAGTCCTATAACGATGATTAAAATGTTATACCAACACATTTTCTAAGATCTTCGGAACTATTACGATATGAAAGTGAAGAAACTAGTTAATTTATAGGTTCGTAAATTTTCAACAGTTTGCCATGTTTATCGATCGATCAAATTAGACATGCGTTTATCATCGGTAGTTCTAGTGTTAAAGGTTTAAGGAATTCCAGATAAACGAAACATCCTGTACACGAAATTTATACAATTCAAAAACTTACAACTATCCAAGTAGATCGAATACCGTTCCAAATCTCCTCCCCGAGAAAAGCTATCCAGTGTTCCGAAATCAAACGGAAGGCTCGCACCGTCAAACGGGGCCATTTTTCTTGGCGACCACGGGCCAGAGAATACACCCATAAATCCCGCGACAGCCAGCCCACACACAGAGGCCGTATAACGAACCCCCGGGTGTTATGCAGACCTCACCCCCACCCCCATTCCTGCCACGCTCGCTGGGAGATTAACGCCGCGATTTCACTGTCCAATATAAAAGTTTTTCCTCAACCGAACCGGCGCAACCGACGAAGAACCAGCCCCGAGAAAGAGCGAAACAGAAGAGGGTCTACACACCGTACTCTACAGTGTGGGAGGGGTAGTAGGGTACTGGAGATCAGCTCGGCTCCACGGAAATTAATGGTACATGCCGATCCGCGGCTAAAGATTCTCTCGTTTTCTCGATTTTCTTCCCTCCATCCGTCCAGGTCATCTCTCTCTCCTTCCTCCAGTCGCATCAGTTCGCTTTCGCTCCTTTTTTTCCCCCAGGAGCGCAACCCAGTCCCTGGAAGCACGATTCCCCGTGGCTTCCGTGACTTCGTTTCCCTGTCTCCCTTCTCTTTTCATCCTCGCGACACTCCATCCCTTGCTCTTTTTCTACCAGCCTTTTTTTTCCATTAGCTCCGCGTCGGGCGGTAATTTCAGATAGAAAGAGAGAGAGAGAGAGAGAGTGGGGGTGGCGGTGGAAAGCGATGGGAGGGAAATAGGGAAAAATTTACTCGTTATTGCAGGCACGAATCTTGCGGCGGAATTATCGGATTTGTTCGGCGGACTCGTATTACGAGGAGCGTTCCAGGGGGCGAGAGAAATCATAAGCAAGAGACCAACACCACTGCGGCTTGGTGAACGTCGTGAATCGATATTGCGGGCTGCTCTTTCGCGGCTCTTGTTTTTTTTTTATCCTCCCTTCTTTCCTCTTTTTTACCTCCATCGCGCTGCTCCCCTGATTTCGTTCCTCATTTTTTTTTCGATTTCTTTCTCTGTTTAGTTCACTCTGGCCACAGACCTTTCGGTTTTCAACGATGAAGCGGTATCGAACGGCCACCGTGGAGCGGATTTCTTGCTAATAGCGCGAGGCGGAGATCGAGCGTGAAGCCAATACGCGCGCGGTGGTTCCAGCCGGCTGACAGAGGCCGTTGGAAAAGCTCACACCACCATCCTCTTGGTTTCTAACGCTCAGGTTTAATTTGAACGACGGAAGGAACGTGTTATTGGGGTTCGCGGTAGATTTTCGAGCGATGAGGGGAAAAAGGAGATTATTAAGATCGACTTTATCTTTGGAATGGTATTTGACCATCTCATGATAGGTGTGATATGAGACTTGGTTATAACCCCTTGCCCTATAACATCGAGTCAGACTCGTGTTGACGATTTAAAAATCGATTCGACAAAGAAGAATATTCGGTTTTCTTTGGGTCGATGTGAACTACCATGTTGCTGGTATTAATATTTACATTTTACAGTAAAAGTACTGTTACGATAAGTACAGAATTCCATTTATTTTTGGGCAATTATCGATAACAATGTAATCCGAAAGACTGCAGACGTCATGAAAATCATAGGGCAACGGGTTAAGGGCTCTTTTTGGGAATTTTTTTTTTAATAAACGAAATGTTCAACATAAATAAAGTGCTGTCTATATATTAATACACTTAATTGAGAGTATAGACAATTTTTTTTTAAACTTTTAATAGTTTTTATTCATATGTATATCGTACTGATTTCTCACTTGCTTTAACACTTGACGATAAACGTATATTTATTTCTATCGGATCAATAAACATGACAAACTTTTGACAATATACAAATTTATGAATTAATTAATTTCTTTTATACTGCAGTGAACGTTGTAAAGGATCTGAGAAAAGTGTATTAACCAGTCATTTTGATTGCTTTGGTAGTTCTACTCTTAATTACTCAATGATTCCTGCACTTAATGTTACCATCAGAGCCGTATAATGATAAACTAAAATCCAGAATGTTTATCAGATTCGTTTCATTTGCCTTGTGATTATAACAGCGCGAAATAAAAATTAAAATCCCATATATTATTTTCTTTCGGTGTACCTCTATTTTCATAATTTAACACGCATCTCCAATTCAAACCTGGAAACCTGATGAAATTAGTCCAAACGAAGTGTAGCAATTAGTAAGAATAATAAACTGAATTTCGCACTGGTTCTTCAAACATAGGCACGTGTAACTCTCGTCAGAAGGATCTAAATTGTTTAACATTAATTTTAGCTGCGGAGGGTCCACACGCCGTCGTATCGATCACTAAAACCACTTCCCTGCGAGCTGAATAACACCGAAAGCGTCGCGGCGAAAAAATCATCCAGAATAATGCAGGAATCCTGTCGGAGCCGTGGAAGGACTTCAAGCTCGGGATTTCGAACAGTCTCGAAAGAATTAATTAAAATTTTAATTAATCCAAATAAACCTGGAGGGGAACGTGGACGGCCCTCGTACAAGCGTTTCACATTAACCTACGCGCGGTGGAAACATCGAGGATCTATTTCGCGGAACACAATCGCCTCCTAGACGGCCGCGTTCCTATCGATTACACCGCGAATTAAATTACGTTCCGTTGCGGCGGTGTAATAAATCGCTCATCAGCCGTATTTCATTTTTATTGGACAACGGGCGCGACGTGCCATCGCGTGAAAAACGGAATCGCGTGAATTGCCAAAATTCCACACGTCGGGACACTCGTCGATACCGATTTCCGTCGATCACGCGAACTCGACCGAATTTTTATACGTTCTTTCGTGTAAAATATATTATTGCATTCTAGATGTCGATGTGACGCTAATCCTTTAAATAAAAAAAAATTATCTTCACGCAGATCTGATGTTCAAATATTTATTGGCGATAGTGTATGTTCATGATAAGGTTTGCCAACCGGTCGCAAGAAGAAATATAGGGTTACGTTATGGGGCCTTACATTTACAGTACCGGAGAAATGTCTTCGAACAAAAACTGTTTCTTGTATTATTTGAATTAAGAATACTACTGATGTTACATTAAAAAATCGACGCCTGTCTTGTGAAATTGTTGTTTTTTTTTAAGTCGACCACACTCGATATATTTTTTAAGTGTCCTTCTCGAACAAATTGTTTCCTGAAACAAGACCTTCATGAGGACATTATATTATATCTTTATTTTGTCCTTTCGTGGATAGTACGAAGTACAATTTCATCAGAAATTTTAAAACAAAGTATTATAGACGGCTCAAACGGAATGCCATCGTCCATAGTTTCTCGATCGAGAAACTATTTTTTGAATATACCCTCTATTTGGGCATGTCCACAGATCGAGAAACTATCGACGATGTCGTTCCGTTTGAGCCGTCTATGATACTTTGTTTTCAAATTTCTGGTGAAATTGTACCTCGTACTATCCAGGAATGGACAAAATAAAGATATAATACAGGGTGGGTCGGAAATCGTAGTACAACCGGGCAGGGGGTGATTCTACGTTAAAATAGAAGAAAATATTTTGGTATAACATTTTCTCACCCGGGGTTCCGTTTTCGAGAAAATCGACTTTAAAGTTTGTTCAACTTGCAAACGATTTAGTATAATTTCCTTGTCGTGTATTCCGTAGATTTCCGGTCCACCCTGTATAATATCCTCGTGAAGTTCCAGTTTCAGAATGCAATTTATGGTTGTGAATGAAACGTCCGAATACTTTTGTCCAGCTAAATACGGATAAAACTTATTTTATATTTTGTGTTACGTAGACAGCTCCGTGTAACTTTTATGAAAGCCTGCGTCAGATTCATAGTAAAAACTCCGGGGGGCAGAACATCAATAACATCACCGTAACAACAAATACAACGAAAAATGTCTTTGAATTCATTTGCCCGGTACTGTATACAGGGTGTAACATTGGTCGGGGTTTTTCGTTAATATCTTGTTAACGATGCCTCGGATAACATTGTTCCTAAGGAAAAACTTGTTCCAATTCACCCCCCGAGTGCCCCATTTCAGGGTCGGACAACATTTTTGTTACACCCTGTATACGAAACCTTCCTACGGCGTGGTAGAGAACACTTACGGTGTATATCGAGCTTCCATCCATCCTCCATCTCGGAATCCGGGATATCCGGCACGCTGCCGTGGCAGGAGAGGAACTTCCCGGCGTCCTCGATGCCGGGCACGAAGGTGAGAATACTGGTGGTGACGTTGTTGTCGGGGCTCATCTGTGGGATAGCTTTCATGAATTTAAAACAGTTTACCGAACGGTTCGGTAATCAGAACCGCTGGGCTGGGGGCCGAGGGGGTGGAGGGACGGTAAAAAAAAAACAATGGCGAACCACCGCGGAAGCCGCTTCGGCTGTACCCAGGGGGTAAGTCGATCGAGGGACTCGAGGCGTTTCAAGATTTAGCCTTGGATCGTCGATCCACGAAAATTTCGAACGCCTTCGAGACATCTGAGAGAGGATTTCGCTCTAATCGAAAATATCGAGGCGCGCTGCGGCGAGATACAGGGGATGAATCGTAAGTAGACTGTGGATGTTTATGCTAACGTACGGGTTGTTTACTCGTAAAGACAGATGAAGTCGTTCTTTGCAGTAAGGTCTTTATTAACCCTGTAATAAGAGGGTCCGAGACCCTTAAATCCTTATTTCAAAATTATGAGTCTGATATATGTATATGTTGTATATTGTTATTTTGAAGTCAAAAGTATCGGTATCAGACAGACCTATTTTCATTCTTTTTTTTATATTTATTTTTGAAAGGAATACTTGAATGTCTCAATTGAAGACGTGGAGATCTACTTTACATTAATGAAACTACGGATCCTTGCTGACAAAAGTTAGATATTAACAGAACAAAGTTATTTAATTTTTTTTATAATTAAAAGTTAGACATAATTTGACACAATGGGCGTTAAAGGGTTAAGTGACCAGTGAAACTCAAAACAAAAGATAAAAAAATTATTTCGGAAATTTTGTTATATAATTTATAAGTAGTGCAATAAATAGCAACATGACGTATTTCAAGCCTGGCCAAAAATTCGCTCGTGGCGCTACATAAACAATAACACCAGCCCCGACCACTAGCTTGTGTTGTGACTGCCCCACTTCCAACACATAGTCACTATGTCAACGTGTGTCGCCAAGATCGGATGAATAGGGACTTCGGGAGTGCCGAAAGTGGGGACAGTCAGTATGCGAGCGCACCTCCTGCCCGCGGATGACAACATAAAAGCGAGTGGTGGGGGCTAGTGTTATTATGATGTGGCTCCGCGGGCGAACATTTGGCCAGGCCTGACATATTTTATCACACATTGTATTTACCGGAGAAAAAATCCCCAAATATACTCTATATAAAAAATATATCCCTAACATCCATTTTATTCAAAGTAGAACAACCATCCCAGATTCAGCCCCATTTGTAATGCTTCGCGACCAAAATCAAGATATTACACGTCCCAGTTTCATTCAGTACGAGCACAGAAAAAAATGAAGAAAAGAATTCATAATTCGGAGTCGGGATCGAATGAAACAAATATTTGCGGAGGCAAAAACCAGTTCGGTTATTTTCGCTGTAGAACGTACTCTGGCCAACAGGGGGTGAGTTAAGGCGTGTGCATTTTCACAGGACCACCCCCTCCGAAGCAACGGTGTATATCCTCCGCGGCGACAATTTAACAGAGATTTACCGTATGCCGTGCATTTCTCAGCGTGGTGCTCCCCTTCGACCAGATAATTTTTGGCGTTGGTCTGGCCCCGACGACTTCGCAACCTATCTCGTACGTGGTGCCAGCGCTAAATGGACGGTTCTCTCCTTGCATTCGGACCCACAACGGCTTCACTGAAACACGCGCGGCACCGGTCCATTAGTCTCTCTACCTTTCCAGAGAGAGAAAGAGAAAGAGGATTGGCGGAGGGCCGAAGGAGGGGGGATATCCATTGCCACGAACGAGTGTTTGCATAATCATTCCGAATTGTATCAGAACGACGGGATCCAGGGAGAGGCAGTGAGGTTAGGAATGGGATAATGGACACGAAAACGCTGCAAAGTGGACCGACCGGTCGGAAGTACTGAAACGATACTTTTAGCGCCGTTAAAATTGTTAAACATTCGTTTTCGATAAAGCCAAGCAAATCCGCTCGACGTGGTTTAAATCTTTGGATATTCGTTCATTGGGTTTGCTTTGTGAAATGGATTTCGTTTTGGGTTCGGTCCAGTTGTGAGAGCTTTCGTTCTTGAAAGTAGAGCTACACCTCCCCGTATAAAGGTGCGTATTCATTTGTTAGCTCTATGTGACGTCACTTTGTCCTAAGCGGGAGGAAATTCTCCGGCAACCCTGACACAGGGTGCCCTTCTTAACAGAAACTGGTTTTAAGAAATTGAGGGTATGAAAGAAAACTGTGGTTACAGATGTTGTTTGATGTGGAGGGGGACACTCTGTGGTGTAAACAGTTTTTTTGCAGGTGAGTAAGTACACAGTAGCGGGAGAGATTTAAAAATCAAGTTAATATCGTTAAACGGATATGATGACTTTGATATAAATTGTATTTATCGTGTATTTTGATTGATACGAAGCTAGTGAACTAAAAAATCGAATAAAAATAAAAACGTATGTATTGCACAAAGTGCCTTAAAATTCTCAAGACTGAATATTATGTGTTAATTATTCGTGTATTAACACTGTGACGATCGATGACGTCACACTGGGGTCATATGCGTGGCAATTTGTACTTTTTAAATATTCGAAGTTATTGAATTTTTCACACATACAGCAGAAAATATATTTTGTTAATTCCTGAGGAAAACCATCGGCGAAAGTTACTCACGACACTAACCAGTCGTCATAGTGTTAGTGTATAGTCATAGTTATTTTCTACTGTTTTCATTTGTTTAATAGATCGATGATCCATTTATACTTGCATCTTTTATGAATGCTTACGGTTCATGTTCAGGGTGACGGAGCTGGATATAGGCGCCACCATATTGTTGTTGGACGCCTGACAGGTGAGGATCGTGTTCAGGTGTTCGCGGCCCAGCTTCTCCAATCGCAGCACGTTCCGAACTCTCTTGGTGCCGACGGTTTCGTAGGTGTCGTCCAGAAGAGCGTTCTCCTGCCACCACGTGACTCTCGGCTGTGGTCGACCTGGTGACACGAAACAAAAAAGTTGGACGGTGGGATCGTCTTGTTTTCGGTATCAATTTGCGCCAGCAACAAGATGAATTAGACTTCTTTGAGCGTTAACAGGTATTTATTATGTGAACCGTTTGAGCCACTTTCGAGATATTTAGAGATTTAGAAAAAAGCCTTGTTAAACTACATGTATAAGTGTGCCTGGATATATTGATTATATTGAGACAATGAGTACATTCAGTATGTATATGATGACAAGAAAAAATATTTTTTATGATGCTTGCCAAATTCGTCTCAATATCCAATAAAAGTAGGACGTAAACAACTTATAGGTAAGTTTATCTATACGAAAACTAAAGGTGACTTTTGGAATTTAAAAAAAAAAGGGTTGGCAAGAAATTGGGTGCAATCGTCTTAAAATGCTCATTAAATTATGTTATTATTAGCCAACAAAATTTCGATCACGTTTTGTTGTCCACCCTGTATATCGTTCGCAATTATACTTCCGATTATTACTTTACGATTACTTTCCCTTACGAGAGAATTTTCTCAAGAATTCACCCTCTGTATAATACGGCATGATTTTATATGATTTTCACCCTGTAGCCTGAATTTTAAGCACTTTTACTATTTTCATTTTTTATACGTAAAATATTTCATTGTGAATTCAATGTAATTTGGTTTTATCGAAGATTCGACTGTTTCGTTGAAATTAGCGAATTCTAGTCGATATTGGATCGGTCCAATAGGGAGAAGTAATAAGAGGGGTTCTCTCCTGCTGAGAGAAAAATTCCCGTGGTTATCAGGAAACGTAAGGTTCCATAAGTACCCAAACTCCAATATCCGTTACCCAGGTGATCGATTGCAATACGGCCAGGTGGAAAACACATTTGCCCTATCGCGACCCTTCTCGCAAGGCGTTCACCGGTTATAGCAAACGAAACGTATTATAATTCTGGATAGAAGTACAAAAACGTAGGGATACGGTCCTCCTTTTATGGAAAGGGCGAAAATTTCATTTCTTCCAGAAGATATCTTCAGAAATCTTCGAATAAGAAAATATTCGTCTATATTCTAGAATTGTTTTCTTTCTCGCAATTATATGCTCTAGGGTTAGACTTGTAAAAAAAAGTAATAGAAAAAAAAAATGAAATCTTACATTTCCTTAATTTTTCTGAATGAATATGTGAGTGATCGTAAATAGGTTTTATTGTTTTATTCAGCCAGAATGACAGCAAACTATCAAATAAACCAGGAAACAGAAGAGCCAACTACTTTTATTACAAATTAATGATATTTCAAGAAAAAAAGAGATTTATTGCCAATACGTAGAAAGTGTATCAATTATATTCATTTATAACAATTTCTACCATATTGGTTTCTTTGCACAATCATATTTACGATAAATTCAGTAAATCCTCGATTCATGTTCGTAGACACCTCGACAGTGACAAGGAGAAGTCCCCAGGTGTAACGCTGACTTTTTAATGAGGATTAACACAATAACACAGAATATTTAATGAAATATTTTATGATCAATGTCGAGGAGTTTTCGAACACTCATCGACAATTTACCGTACATCAAAAATCCGCAGTCTAATTATAAGTTTTATATTTCAAAGACCGCTAATAACAAAAAGTATTTCCACCGCAGCAAGCAATAAAACGCGTGGCAACTTAAACCATTGTACATTTTTCATAAACCGGCGGCGATCGTCGATTTCAATACACAAAGTGACCGTTTCAAAAGTTTCATCCTCCGCAAAGCTATTTCCACAGGATCATCGCGATTCCACCATTATTTTCAAAACACACACACACACACACACACACGTCAAATTGACGGTTTCGCCTGGACGTTATATTCCGTCGTTGTTGATAAACACCGGGTGGGGGATGATACAAATATTTAAAGAAGGGGAATCAACGACCACCCGTCAGAAATATGAAATTCAAATTTCCGCCACGATACTTTTTCCTCCCTGCGTAGCCACACTTGGATCTCTGATTTTTCTGTGTATTCTTTGCTGTACTTTTTTTATTTTCTGTTTACGCATGTCCAGCCAATCAGGGGATGGCCGGTGCCGCGAAGGGTGGACGGTGGGGATTCGAAAAATATCGTTGATACGGGCGTTCCGTGAAATGGATATACTTCACAGAGACGAATTTACAAGAATTAATGGCTAAATGCAATTAAAGGCGAATCTACTCTTTTACACTTTGGATATGGGCGCAGATAGGGGGAAGGTGCTTACCCCTAAAAACGTGCCCGTGAAACTACTTCTCGTATTAGCAGTCTTTGAACAATGCTGACAGACGAGAATTGACAGTTGTTATTTGAAATATGAAACTTATAATTAGATTGCGGCATTAACCAACCCCCACCTCCGGATGAAAGGGGGAATAGGGTAGACTGAGGCGAATGGGATCAAAATAAGAATTCAGTCCATCGATTAATAACTAATTTTTGTCAGCAAGGATCCGTGGTTTCACTGATGTGAAGTGGATCACAACGTTTTCAGTTAAGAAATTCAAGTACTCCCTATAAAAATAAATAAGAAAGAAGAAAATGAAAAAGAAAACAGGCTGGTTTAATATTGATATTTTTAACTTAAAAATAACAAGATACAAGATATATATCAGTCTCATAATTTTGAAATAACGATTTAAGAGTGAACGTTAAAGTGTTAAGAAAAATTTACTGTAGTACTCACTCGTGTAGTCTACCTGTACTATATGTATAGGGGGCGGATGATCCCCAGCAATCCTCACATGAATTATTTTCTTTCGTATCTTTTAGATGATTTTAGAACCTCTTTAATCCTTATCAATAACGAAAACTCCGTAAAATTCTGACTGCATTGCTTTTAGATCTAAATGGCTTAATTATTAATCATTTGTGATCGTTTTGATCCAATTCGTCTCGGTCAACTAGTAACTGCTTTCCAATAATCAGCAAAGTGTAAGACGAAATCGCGGGAAATATACTCTAAGGGGTCATTCTACTTTGATGGCCGAAGAAATTAGACTATGTTTAAAGACATTTTCCTCAGTAAATACAATACATAATCAAATATACCTTGTTAGTATTTATTGAACTACTTACAAATAATATAAAAAAAATTGCAAACCTGATTTTCTTATATTTTGTTTTAAATTTTTTCGTAGCATAAAACTGACACCTTTCACCCGTTAAGAATCTAGCTGATTTTTATGACCTATTCACTTCTGTCACGCGATGTGACCAACTGAGTGATTCAATACTTACTAACAAATGTAGGAAAATTGAGCAAGAAATGTTGAGGAGAAAAAAAATGGATAACGATTTGGAAAGGACAATACTATCTCATCGATGACCCACATGGCACTCTGCGAAGAAATTCTCACGTATCGCTGTCGAATGTATTCTCCCGTTCTCATTTTTATTCGCAGCCGGCGGCGATGACGACGACAGGGTGGAAGGGTAGACGCTCGTGTGCAGATACGGGCCGTTTAAACGGCAATTTCTTGAGGGAAACGGATTCAGGACGAAATGTTTCGCGACGCTCCGAGCTCGCGGGCGCAATAACGTCTCGCCGCGGAAAGAGCCCGAGACATTTCAGATTATGGCACGTGAGCTTCCCCCTCCCCATCGCCCTCCTGCAATTCTCTATAAATAAATACACACTCGCGAAATAATAAACGGTGGAAATTCCCCGTGAGCCGCGGATGCGGTTTTGCGGCGCGCTTGAACGTCGCCGAGGTGTGAACTCGGCAGCCAGTATACGGTGGCCCCCACGTGATACACGTTTAAATTTACACCGGGTGGGTTTATCGAAATGGATCACTTGGAATTATTGGTATCAGAGAATGGAATTTAAACTCATAATTTGTTGGTGTATCCAGAAATATTGCAATTGCTTCGTTCTACAAAAAAATTAGGGCCACCCATAATTTTCCAAATTTTTTGCGGTAATCATAGAATTGAAAGACCAGAACGTAATTTAATAATAATTTTTATTAACTATTAAAGTACGTATATATATTATATATATGTTAATAATTTATATATTATTGTATGTAATGTCTTATTATATTGTACTTTGGCAACTTTATTGTCCGAGGGAATCCCATTCAAAAAGTCTGGAGTTTACTTAAAACCCTTGTATACGTACTACCTGTCGCCATAAAAGATGATTTAAAACAAAAAAAATTCGGGATTATAAAAGTGTCCCATATTTTATTGACACCCTCTAGAGTATTGTACTACCATAATATACTAAGCACAGTATAGTACTACTACAATATTTATTTGTTTTTTTTTGTTTATTCTAAATGAAAGTAACATTTAGATAGAGATTACTTTTTTGAGGGCACAAATTTCATAATATTCGATGTGTTACATTTAGGTGAGGTCTCGTTGTAAAGCAACTGTCAAAACAGTGTGTCGTAAACAAACAAAATTCAATTATACTAAATGGAACCGGATTTCACCCGAAAGTGTAAAATAACCCTGCACCGTCAACGTGTTCCCGTATAAGGGGTAAGTCTATAAAAATAAACAGTGGAAGTACAAGCTTTGTGCTTTACGCTACTAAAAAATTCACTTTCTGGATCGTAAATATTTTTATGACACGCAATGGAACCGCGGTAAAGACGAAATGAATTCAGGGAGAGTTGAGTGAAGATGGCTGACTATGATCAGCCATATTCTACTTAAACAGCTTCCAAGCAGGGCGTTCCTACCTCGACGTTATTGCCTTTTTAATAAAATGATCCTTTTCCATCAACGAAATTCATGACGTCATCTAACAATGTAAAATGAATGAATAAAACATATAACGTTAAAATTGCAAAAAAGTATTTACCTTGTTTTTATAGTATAGTGACAATCAGAAACAGTCGATTACAAAACGATGTAGAATTATACGAGTTACGTTAAGGAAAGTACTAATAAATATACATAATAGTATTATATTTAACATTAAACTACCAAAAGTCTAAAAGAAATTTATTGATTTACATTCTTGCAA